ATATATATATATATATATATATATATATATATATATATATATATATATATATATATATATATATATATATATATATATATATATATATATATATATATATATATATATATATATATATATATATATATATATATATATATATATATATATATATATATATATATATATATATATATATATATATATATATATATATATATATATATATATATATATATATATATATATATATATATATATATATATATATATATATATATATATATATATATATAGTTTTTTTTTTTTTCCTTAGAGATGGGTTGTGGCTGGAAGGTCATCCGCTGCGTAAAAATGTGCTGGATAAGTTGGCGGTTTATTCTGCTGTGGCGACCCCGGATGAATAGAGGGACTAAGCCGACAAGAAAATGAATATATAATAAAAGCTTAATAACACCACATTGATTCCTCTACCAAATGCTAAAATAGTTTAACAACAGCTAATGAAAGCCATAAAAAACACTATTCTGACAGATGACTAATATAGAAATGCTGGAACATAAAATTGTGCTGTATGATTACCTTGGACAAATGTATCAGTTTCACGGTGTCTTACTTTTAAAATACTTTTTTCACCTTGAGCACAACATTTTTTTAAGAAACAATTAAAAATAGTTCAATAACATTTTAGACTAAATAATTAAATAAATCATTGTTGACTTCTGCTGTCAATTCTATAGAATTATAAACCGTTTTCTTCTGGAGATAATTTTCTCTAATAAATTTAATTAAATAGCCCTAACACACAAAAACGATCAAACTAATTTTTTTTTTTTTTGCAGTTTTAAAACCTTGACTTTTCCAAACCATGGTAAACCTTGAAACAGATTATCGTACCATGCCTAGCTCAGTGAAAAATTTAGTCTGTATACAGTCTATTAGAAACACTCCCTTGTGAAAGCAAATCTTATATGATATTTACTGTATATTATTGTAGTAGTTTTAATCCTTCCTTCACAACAAAATACTACAATCCACAGGTATGAAAATTCTTGCAATTAAACTTTAGGGCTTAATAATGCAGAGACCTCCAATGTTTTGTCATGTATCATATGTATTGTGCTGTCTTTTGCCATTTTATTATTGTCACTCATCTGATTTTTGCAGTAAATTCTGAATGTTAGCATGTTTATTCTGAAACTTTTATCTGTGTCTAGCAGCATGACAAATTAAACCTTCACTGAAATGAAAAGTGCTCTCTATAGTTTCTAAAAGCTGTCTGCAGTAGCGAAAGCAATTGCTCTTTTAGCAGTTCTGTCAAAGAGTCAGCAGTGCTGTCAGTTGCCTAACCTAGCTTTAGTGTTGGTCTTGTTGCATTCATTGTTTCTCAGGCAACCTTGGGAATTATGATGGTGCTTTTGTGTCTTTCTCAAGGCCTAGCATGTCAGGACTTCACCTTGTGAAGCAGGGTAGGGACCGCAGACGTATCGACCTGCAGAGGGATTTTACTGTTGCTTCTCCAGCTGAGTTTGTCACCCGCTTTGGTGGAAACAAAGTCATTGAGAAGGTAAGATCTTTCACTGGCATTTTATGTACTGCTATATACAGATTGCGTAGTGTAATTTAATATTATTTTTGAAATATTTTTTAAGTTAATGTTGTTTTTTGTTTTAATATTTTGTTTTTAATTATTATTCATTTATTTATATATTAATTTTATTTGTTTTTATTATTTTTATGAACTATTTATTAAGTCTCATTGTCTAAATTTAGTCACATATTAAGTAACTGCGGACATTATCTTAGTTGATATTTGCTAAAATATATTATTTTATTTGTTTTATTATTTAATTAAAAATATAATTGATCATAGCTCATGTTAGCTCAGAATCATTAAAATATTAATCAGATATAACCTTTGATTTCAGCGTTTCTGAAACATATTGAAAATCAATGTGAGGACTGATAAATGGTTGAAAACAAAATGCATAATTTTGTAATACATGTGATGTAATGTTGCCATCGATAATTTTTGCTAATGTTTAATTATATATAGGGGTGCAATGGATCACAGTTGATACGTATGGATCACAACCCACAGTTTTGAATGCACGTGACCTTTGGATTAATAGCTTTTTTTGTAGTTTAATCCAACATTTATAACAATTGCAGAGATATCGCCTCCCACGCACCTCCCACATCCAAATCACGTGTATGAAAGCATTTTGGCTTCCCTGTAAAATACAATGATGATGGGAAAAGTTGTAGTGGGACCTAAATGCTTTCTTAGGTTATTAATTAAAGGTGTTTTCTGTCACTGTTTGTTTAGCCTGCATAATGTGTTCAGTGTATGCTGCACAATTAAATATTAAAAGATCAGGATCTCAATTCAAACTCGCGCAACATGATAAATGATAGTGACTTCAAATCTGTGTTTGATAGCGAGAGATTTATTGTTTTTTACACTTTTTCAGTTAGTAACAAACAATGAAATAACACTGAAGTACTGGAAGAACAGTTTATAGTTCAGATATAAACACTGATGTTTATGGTAAAGATTAAAATCCCTGTTTAGTGGAACCTGACGCTGCTGAATGTAGCAATTACATTGTTTAATCAATAGGTGGCGACAAACAACCATCAAAATTATGTCACTGAATCAGTTTTTAAAAATGATCCACCTATAATGAAACATAAGGTTTTATGTTTGAATTGTTAAGTCATTCATTGAAAATAAATATGATAAGTTGTGCAAGATGTTAGATTTCTATGTTTACCATTATCAGCAACAGTAGCAAAGATAATTTTTTGTATTTAATATTTTCCTTTTTTTAGCTGGTTCCTTCTTGATTTTCTTTGTATTAAAATTACTGCTTCTAAGTTCTGTTTGTTAAAACCAATGGTTTTTGCAGTAATATTTTTGTAGAACTGGAAAGCAAATGACATTTGTCTCCTCTCTTTTTTTGCTGATCTGAAAAATGGTCCGATCCATGACTCAAAAACCATAGTGTGATCCGAACCGTGAGATTTGTGATCCGTTACACCTCTAGTTATACAGATAAAAATTTGTATTATAATTTATTTTTAACCATGAACCGGTTATGACATTAGCATAATATTATGATACTCTTTTAAAAGGTCCTCATTGCAAACAATGGCATTGCTGCAGTCAAGTGCATGCGCTCTATCCGACGCTGGGCTTACGAAATGTTTCGGAATGAACGGGCCATACGCTTTGTTGTCATGGTTACCCCAGAGGACCTTAAAGCTAATGCAGGTAAGTTTAAAAATTCACCAGAGGAAACCTGTAATAAATAAACCAATGATGCACTGGAATTCTGTATTTTAACAAAAATACAATGTATTGATCTTTCATTTTATTGTTTAAACTATGTCAGTAAGCATTGTTGGCACAGGCCTGGCCTAATTTGCATACAAAGTGTTTAGCGAGGCAGAAGTGATTTGTGCACACAATTAAAAACTTATGCAAACATAACTCAATCCACAGAGTACATCAAGATGGCAGATCACTATGTGCCTGTGCCAGGAGGGACAAACAACAACAACTACGCTAATGTGGAACTCATCTTGGACATTGCGAAACGAATTCCTGTTCAAGTAAGTGGACATGAGCATGCGAAACGAATTCCTGTTCAAGTAAGTGGACATGAGCATTGATAAATGCTGTTTAGAGCTAAGAAAGTATTTGGACAATTATAGAACACATTAAGAACAGTTCATCCCCCGAAAAAAAATTCTATCATCATTCACTTATAGATCATCTAATTTTTACTTGTGAATTAAAGTTTAAATTATATCTGTACACCATATAAACAATCAAACATGTCTCTTGACAATCCTGGAGTTAAACCACTTGATTATGGATTGGTTTTTACAAAACCTCATGTCCTCTTTGTATCTTGTTTTCTGTGCATTGACAGAAGCTTCTCAGATGTTAAAGGTCTTGCTTGTTTTTTAAGGGTTAAATAAAATTTTGAACATAAGCAATTTATGATTATACAGGGACATAAAATGATAATAGAATTAATAATTTGACATCTTATGAGATGAAATGTTTATTATATTATACTTCTATACAGTAGACAAGGAATAATGAATGTATTACTGTGTGTTAAAGAATTTACAATTCAGAGAATGCACAATTGCATGACACGCAGGCAAAGATCTGCCCAATGCAATGCAGAGGGTGGTAACCTCTGCATTTAAAATCTTTTATTAAATGACTCTCTAAAATCCGCAAACACTCTATCAAACTGTATAGGGAGACTCAACAAATGATAAAATCATAAAAAATCTTGATTATGACATTATGTATACTGTATCCATGCCTAATATTTAATGGCCAGAATGTGATTTATTTTTCTAAATTGTTAAAATATTGCTGTCTGTGATGCAGCAAGTTCAGATACTGTTGTGTACACTATGATTGCATATAAAATGTGCTTTAATGTGTGATAGGACTAACAAGTGGTCATAAACTAATATTTTCTCAATTGAAATGAGTAGTGGCTTGGACCTGGAAACAGTATTCCATACGTCACGACGTAACAAGTGTATACTTGATTCTGATGTTATTCCGAAAGCGGATACGTTATTCCAAAATAACAACCACTGAATCACACAGGCTTATCCGGGTATTTTGTATCATCTTGACCATCAGTGAATACATTTACATGCATTTATAAGCTACGATTCTTTTTATCCACTGCTCTTATGATAATAAACTATTACAGTCGGCAAGTAGTGTTTTGTGGCAAGTAGCCATGCAAAACTAGAAAACGTACAATGGCCAATGTTTTTACAGAATAAAGGCCTTCAGGCTGAAGCCTGGTTTATACTGCATCAAGTGATCGGCGTGACCCATGGCGTATGCAATGCGCGTAGCCGTGCATTTATACTTCTGCATGCTGTTTCTGTTGATCTGCAATAACACTTCCGAAATGCCAGCTGGCAGTAGGTATTTATGTTCCTTTGTGTTCAGTTTCATTGCTGATGTTTTGTTTTAATCTGATTGCTACCTTAATGTACAAGTGGCGCTAACTCGCGTAAGCGCAAAGCCCTCTGGCGCTTGACGCAGAATTATAAATCCGCCTTTAAACAGCAGCCCTCTGCGATTAATGCTATCTTGTGACTGTATAGTGCGTAGGTTGGTGTATGCTCCATTCAGCCTGTTTTATTTCTGTCAGCTTTGCCTTAAATAATTATTAATTAAATAATAAATAAAATAATATATTATTAGTAATGGTAATTAGTAAATAATTAATAAAAGAACACAGTTTTGTGTCAAATTTTTGATATTTTGTGGCAAGTAGCCATGTAATAAATGGTATAAAGTACATCCAGGTGGTTGTTTTCACAGAATAAAGCCTTTCAGTCCAATGCAACCGCCCTCTATTTTGCATTTGGCTTTTTTACTGTGATAACAACTACCTGGATGTACCTTATTTCTAACGCAATGCAAACTGTTGATTATCCCACGTATACTGTGGTCATATGCTAAGTTATAGACAAGCTATCCTGTAAGTTTGCTCTTTTAAGCAAAATATTTAACTGAATTACCACCTCTTCATGTCCCTCCCTGCATTCAATCAAGCTAAAGGGGGTGTGTGTAAATGAGATCATGTGTGTGCATGTTAATGACATGGGAATATCTAACAGCTCATATTGACATATTCTGCAATGCTTAATTTCTTTTCTGTGATTGTTTTAGTACTTCAGATTTATTTTTTCTATGGGGAAAAGACGGAGTAATAAATAATAGGAGTAAATGTTCAAATGGTGTTTGCTCTACAAACAGTTGTTTATGGTGACCTATAAAAATATAAATAATATAATTAGAAATTACAAGTTTGTAACATCGACAGTATAATGAGTTGTTTTATGGCTAAAAGTCAATGTAAGTGAATGAGATTGTACGTGAAAGAATGAAGTCAATAATGTGTAGCTACCTCTTTGCTTTGAGATTACACAGAAGAATGGAGGCTCTAGCAACTGTCACTTAAGAACTACCTTGGTTACTACTAATGTTTGAGGGAAGCACATTTGGAATACATGTTGTGCATTTTAAACTACCTGTGCATTAAACTATTTTATTGCACACCTTCCAGCCAATCAGAATCAGGAATTTCAACAGATCATGGAATAAATAACAATTTATGACAACAACAACATAAAAATAAACATTAGTTATTTTTACCCACTGTGTTTAGGCTGTGTGGGCTGGCTGGGGTCATGCCTCTGAAAATCCCAAACTTCCTGAATTGCTGCACAAGAACGGCATCGCCTTCATGGGTGAGCTATTATTAGAAGTCTGACAGCACAACATTGATTAAATGAATCACATACAGTGCTGTTACTCGAGTGGTTTGTGTCTGTTATTAGGTCCTCCAAGTCAGGCTATGTGGGCTCTCGGGGATAAGATCGCTTCCTCTATTGTGGCCCAGACAGCAGGCATTCCCACACTACCCTGGAGTGGAACAGGTCAGTTTCAGCCTAATTTCAGTTCGAGGACTGTCTGATGTGTACATGCACAAAACATCCTTTGTCAAACACAGATTGAGATCAAGCAGAGGGCATTACGTAATCTGTTTATGGAGAGGTTTAGCATTGTAAATGCTTAAAACTAAAGAAAACATTTTGCTAGAAAGCTAAGTCATCTTTTTTCAGATTTTATAAAGCAGATTTATGGGAAGGCCACTTTCAGATGTGCTCTGTTTGCAGTTTATGCAGTCTGTATTTTTATCTGTGCTTGCATAAAAGGATTAGAGCTTTCACACTGCATACATATGCGGTCTGGCACTGCATCACCACAATAATTTCTGCAGCAAGTATATTTTAGCTTTGCTATATACGCTAAATTGAATTGACATAGCATTTATGTGCATTATTCAGTTGTAATTTAGCAGTTGTAAGAGATTAAGAAGTAAATAATTAAAGTCCCCCTTAAATCAGTATATTTTTTTGTTTATGTCTTGTATCAATATGCTAGTCTTAATGTTTTCTTTCTTTTTTTTTCTTTTTCTTTTTTACTTTTTTAAACATTAAAAAGGAATACATTTTCACTGCCAGTTATTTTACTTTTTTAAACAACATAGAAAGCAACAAAACACAATGTAAAAAAATTTAAATGAACAAAGTCAATAATAACAATAACAATAAAATAAACAATATTAATTACAAAATGTAAACAATTCAGGGAGGGTGAAATATAATAATAGTCAAACTCTGTATTAAATAAAATAAAATCTATGTTCTTAGTCTGAAGAGGAGACTGCGAGAGAAAGCTTACTGGTTATTAAATTAGAATATGCATATCTTGTGGATTAAAACTAAGTAACAAAGCCTAGATAAAGTAACCTTAAATATGCAGTGCATATGGTCCAGAAGTGCACAAAATCTTCTAACCTTAACCTTAAGTATTTAAATGGCATATTTTTGAACTGGAATGTGTCTCTCTTGTTTACTTGTGATCTGATCGAGCAAAATATGTCTTATTACTGTGTAAACAGGGCAGCATCAGTCATGTTACATTCACAGACTCCCTCTGTCTCATCAGCTCATCCTTACCTGCTCATGGTAGTCTTCATAAACTAGCCTACGTAAGGCACGTGATAACCTTTGGTTAAAAAAAAAAAGAAACGCACACTGCAGCATGCAGCACAATGACGGAAATTAGAGTGATTGCATCGAGAAGGTGCTCAAATTGCGCAGCGACAAGAAATAATATAGATTGCGCCACCAAACACATGAAAATGAAAGTAACGACCATGGTTTAAAAATTTAAGGAGTAGAAAGTACAGATATTTGTGTAAAAAAGTAAGAAGCAAAAGTTGAAGGTTACAGATGTTACTACTTCAATGTGTTCCTTGTGCCGCCATTCATACCGCGGCGACGGTGGTACTTGATGCGCCAGCAGCATTTGACCGCTGGGTGGCACTTTAACCACAGATATTCAGCTTTGCCTTTTCACAATGCTAAACAGACTGTTGTGTAGGCGTAGCTTACTGTGTGTGATGTGATGTGTTCAATTAAAATATAATTTTAATTTAGTTTTTCTGGTAATAGACATGCTCTTACACTATACTGTATGCTGTAGAAAAGATACATGGTGAGAAGTCAAAAAGCAAATATAAGAATTAAGTTATTAGCCTTCAGTGCCCGATTAAATTGCGTTGGGGTGAAAATAATGTTTTGATTTCTTTGACTATCATGGCAATGTTATTATCTCAAATCTTAAACGTGCGCATATGAAAAACAGCAAAATAATATAGATTATTCTGCCGGTAGAGCACATCACCTCACAGTTGTGAACTTGCGATCACCTCAACTTACATTTAAAATTTGTTAACCTGGTTTATTGTAAACTTTTTAAGTGCAAAGAGGATTCGTTTTGGAAAATAGAATTGAAGAAATGAAAGACAACTAAAGTGAAAGCATAAACATTCAGTACAAATAAGTAGTCTTAAATAAATAAATAAATAAATAAAGCAGTCTTTTAGTCTAAATATAGAGAGATGTAGTTTGCTATTTTGATAGGACTAAGACAAAATATTTTCATTTATGTTTTTAATTTACGTTTTTATTTACATTTTCGTTGTTGATTATATTTTACTATCTCATTTTATGTTTCAGTACATAATAATAAACGAATAATGAAAATAAATAAATAATGAAAATAGGACATAAATTAAGTCTGGCAGGTTTATTTTTAATAATTTAGTTTCAGTTCCGTTATTTTGTTTCAAAACGTCAATGTTCTGCTTTAAAGTATAACTGTTTTGTTTTGTTTTTTTACTTAATGGCTCAGTTTTGTATTTTAATTTCATATTCAGTCACCTTGCATATGCGTGTGAAATATAATGCCGCATAACCGCGGAAAAAGAAGAAAAGGCTGTCAGTTAAAGCTAATCAAAATTAGCTATATTAAAATACAGCATTTATGTTAATACAGGCAGAGTGTGAACAAACTCAAGGCTAAGATATGCGCTTGCTTTTTAATGCATTTAAAATATAAATAAATGTTTTTTTTTTTTTTTTTTACTTTTTTTGTATGGTAAAGGACAATGCACATTATGTTATTGATGTAAACTTAGGCTAAAACTTACCATTGATAAACGTGACCTACCTCAAGCAGATCACTTAAAGTGTAATAAAAATAATGTTGCCGCAGGACATAAACGAAGTCCCGCAAGTTTATTTTTAATAATTTAGTTTCAGTACTATTCATTTTTTTCTCAAAACATCAATAGCACCTTCAATAATCTAAACATTAAAGATGGACCGCAAGATGTGTTGAGTGGCTATATGTGGTGAAGAACGATGGCAAAGCTAAGTGTGATTATTGTAATAAACTAATAACTAAAGTTATAAAGCAGAGAGTCCCGACCAACAGGACTGACTCAGCATATGCGGTTGGCTCACTCTTCACGAATATAGAATTAAAATAATGGCGCGTTAGGTTCATTGTGCATCCCGCAGGTGCAACCAACAAGAGTTGTGCATTTTAGTTTAACTTTTTTGAGCGTTATAAGCAGTTCGGTGTTAGTTTTTAATTAAATATATCGAGCCGAAACTAAGCAGCGCATTCTCTCCGCCTCCTCGTTTATAACCAGCGGGACACGCTACTGAAGCAGGAGAGACACTCCATCGTTCATAATCTTAGCTGATGTGTCGGAGTCGAAAGAATATATCAAAGAGGAATGTTCTTTTTACAGTGCCGATATGTTTAATCTTTTTCCCCCTGTCATTTCTCTTCAGCAAATTATATTTTTAAAGCTGCTTGATTCTTTTAAAACCGAAAGCAGAGCCCGTCAATTGGTGTTTTTTCATAAGATACTCCTTTATTAATGTTTTATTTTATGAGTGACTTTAATGTGCTTTTTAATAGTTTTATTTTATTCAAAGCAGGACCTAAAAGCGAATTTATCCTCAAATCGTGGCATGAGAGCGATGTCATGTCGCATTGCCTTTTTTTCTGATCTTTTTGCATAAAGGTTTTAATCAAAAGACTGGTAATTTAATTACTTTCGATGTGCTAAAATATTTGTTCTATATATTTAAAGAGCCCATATTATGGGTTTTTGAAAATTCCCCTCCATGTAGTGTGTAACACAGCTCTAAGTGAAGTGAAGTATCCAACTAAGGCTTAAATCTGTAAGAATACAGTGTTTAAAACTGTTGATTCATCTATAAAAGAGTCGATTCATAGTGCTTCAAACGAGTCGCCTTGATACCGACTCATTAGGTGTTTCGCCATGACGTACGAACGAAACAAAGTTTTTCACGTGCACGCGCAAACCCGGGAGATTTCAAACCTGAGGCCCCGCCCTCTGACGCAGTAACCCAGACACACACACACACCCACAAACACACGCACACAAACATGCCGGTCGATTGAAGTCACACTGCAGATGGATATATTGAGTCTCTACCCAAAGATGAAACCTCAGCATTATAGCCAAGCAGTTGGAAACTACTGGAAACTTCTGGAAGCTACATGCTACAAAGAATACTTCATCTGCGTTTGTTAAAGGAAGGATCAGTAACTTACTGCTGGACGTCAGGATGGGTTTCTTCCATTTCTCAAGTGTAAGTACGTGCGGTTAAAGTTGTTGCCTCGTTGACTCTAGCTTGCAAATGTATTTAGTTGTGATTTGTTACTTGTAACCGAGTGTACTGTATCAGGTTAACTGGCTATATTCTCTTATCGCGTGCAAAGTCACGTTAAAAACGCGACGCATGCTGCTTTGTTTATGGAGCTCCGTGGTAACGTTAGAGGTGTGCATACCCGCGGCTGTCCCCGCGCCAGATTTCTGCGGCGCGGGAATAAATTTCTGAATAAATCGCCGGAGCGGTCGGTAACGGGTTTGATTTGGGACGGGAGCGGGCTGCCTGAGAAAGAGAAAGATGTGTCTGCTTGGTGCTTGTGTGTTAGTGCGCACGCGCGCGTATGAGAGAGAGAGAGAGAGAGAGAGAGAGCGAGCGAGCGAGCGAGCGAGCGAGCGAGAGCTTTATGCTTGGTGCTGTGTGTGTGTTTATACAGATTTTCGGTTTTGTTCTCCCCCGCTCTTTAGCGGGATCGGGCGCGGCGGGCAGAATACGGGGCGGGTTCTAAGGCTAAAACCTGGCGGGTGCGGGCGGAAGCGGGAGCGTTCTTGTCCGGAGGTGTGTTTGTGTGTTTGTGTGTGTGTGGCAGCTAAAATCCACGCCTACACTATCTAGCGTGTATGAACTGTGATTACTTTTTAAATTGCTGATTAGCTATTGGCCATTTCACTCTCTGACTGAAGGCAGTCGACCAATCGCGACAGACTGTCATCGGTCCAATCAGCGCAGATTAGCTTCGCGCTAAGGAGGGGTTGGGAACAAATGAATCACTGAACGATTCATACAGGAGTCGCTGGGATAATTAGGTAAAAATAAATGCAGATTATAAGACCATGAAAGTGTTTTTTGACCTTGCATGCATATTAGACTGTTGTTGGAGACCCTTACAACCAAGATATGACCCTATTTCATGTATAATATGGGCTCTTTAATATTTAAAAAATCAACTCCCTTTTGCCCAGAGAAAGAGGCGTGCGGCACTAGCGGACATGGGGCGCTTTCCCAAAAAAAGACGTAGGCTACAGTAACTTGCGGCTGAACTATGCACAGTTTGGGGAAAAAAAGGATATAGTGATGCATGTTTCCCAAAACCCCTAGTTTCTCTGTCGCAGATCCATCATTTGAATCACGTTATAAGTAAAACGCACATAATGATAAGCACACCATCATCACGAGGGCAATTAAATAAAGACAACCTAAACATATTTTTAATTGTTTATTTATGTAATGTGAATTTTTATAACTTTGTTCTTTAAATTATTTCAATATAACTTAGGCTATTCTATCGTGATGACACCATAAAAGGCCTTCAATGCACTGATATAGGTAATAGGGATACAATGAAAAGCCGATTTTACTATTGACCCTGTTTTTATTCATTGACGGCTTCCCAACGCCGCAATTCTGTTGCGCGAAAAAAAGCTGCTGCAAATAAGCAAATTTATGACAATACACATTTAATAGTTTCATGAAAGTAGTAGCTGGTGTGCTTCATCTGCGTGATTCTGATTTGACATTCTTCCGCTAAACTTGCTCTGTGTTGAGGTGTAAATGGGCTATGCTCTTTGCTATTGAGGCTAACACATCAAGGTGTAAATGAGCTATAGTTCTCTTTGCAACTTTCAATTTTGAGGTGGGGGAAGTGGGAAGAGGCAATTCAAACGTACCATCTCTAAAAATTTTGAGGTGGGGGAAGTGGGAAGAAGCAATTCAAATGTACCATCTCTAAAAATAAAAAGGCCGCTTACGCGGCATTTGTGTTTAAAGATTATTACCTTATTTTTATTTTATTATTATTAATTTATTCATTCATTCGTTCGTTCATTTTCTTTTCGGTTTAGTCCCTTTATTAGTCTGTGATCGCCACAGCGGAATGAACCGTCAACTTATCCAGCATATGTTTTACGCAGTGGATGGCAGGAGGGCCAGCTGGGGCTTCGGAACGGAGTGAAAGGAAAGGCGGAATTTGCCCCGAGTCTGGGAAAGATGGCTTGCCTAATTACACTAGCTTTCCTATCGCACACATGCGCCAAAATAAACAAATAAATAAAAAAGGGAAAGAAAACATCTAGCCTTGAGGTGTTTTTGCTTATAATCGCCCTTATATTTCCGTTTTTAAATGTAAGGCTGTTGCATAAAATAATACAATTTTAATTTATAAGTTACTTTGCTGCGTCCCCCTTGATGTTTCAATAACGCATAATAATCTACACACCATATTAAAGACACAGCAGACATGAAGGTTGTGTGTGAGAGCCCGAGCAAAAAAGGATCAGAAATTGATCACGCACGCACAGGAAAAAAGGCAATTATGCAACACATGACATGCATCGCTCTCAATTGACGGGCTCTGCTTTCTGTTTTAACATAATCAAGCAGCTTAAAAATTAATTTGATGAAGAGAAATGACAGGAAAAAAAGTAAAAAAAAAAAATTAAAAAAAAGATTAAATGTATCGGGACTGTTAAAAGAACATTCCTCTTTAATATATTCTTTTGACTGGGATACATCAGCTAAGATTATGAATGACGGAGTAGGCTATCTCTCCTGCTTGCTTCAGTAGCGTGTCCAGCTGGTTATGAACGAGGAGGCGGAGAGAATGCGCTGTTTAGTTTCGGCTTGATATATTTATATAAAAACTAACACCGAACTGCTTATAACGCTCAAAAAGTTAAACTAAAATGCACAACCCTTGTTGGTTGCGCCCGCGGGATGCACAATAAACCTAACGCGCCATTATTTTAATTCTATATTCGTGAAGAATGAGCCATAAGATTGAGATCGTTGACGGTGCTCTCCAGCGGCGAAGTTCCTGGCAGAGTGGCGAGTGAAAAAATTTGTATGCAGAAATAGGACAAGAGGAAAAACATTTTAAATTATATAACAAGCATCGTATTCTTTCAAATCCTCGCCCAGTTTTAGTACAAGTTGTGTTATTTATATTTGTGGCTGTGAAGTTATATATATATATACCTGACCAGCGCTGACAGCAAACGCATAAAGGACAGAGTGAAGGAATTTCTACGGTGCACACGAACCTCTGTTAGCGCCCACCGACGTCTTCAGTATTAGAGACAACTTAAAAGAAAACATTCAGTTATTTTTGTATTTCTATTTGCTTTTTTTCCTCAGAATAAATATATCCTCTTAATCAACTGTATGACTTTTTTCCCGATTATACGCAAAAGAAATAGTTTTTAACGTGTTTTTCATGCTTTATTTCTAACACGTTTATGAATTATAAGTTTTAGCCTAAGGTTACCAGACAAAACAACAATAACAACATTATTATACATCATAGTAGCATGTAGACTATAAAAAGGCAACATATCGACTCATGCGCACATATGAGGCCCGTTGCCAGCCTGGTGAAAGGGATGGTTCTTTTTTTCTCAAGTGGACCTTTTTGCAGTTATACGCCTCAGTTTCCATTTAACTATGAGATTTAAATACTACATTTTAGTGACTTTTTTGCTGGATTAGCCAGTCAGATGTCATTATAACCACACTTTTTGATGTAGGCTACTAAAATATTTCCTTAAAAGTGCAGTTAAAAAATTCAGACAAGAGAAATTTTTAAAATACAAATTTATTAAATCATATGTCATTAGAAAAATAGCAATCTGTTTTAAAGTTTTAAAGTAAAAAAAAATATATATATATCATTTATTAGACAAAAAACACACTGGCCAAACCTTTGACAGCTTTTTCTTCTTTTTTCGCGGTTATGCGCGCATTAGCCTATATTTCATATGCATATGTAAGGTGACTGAAATTAAAATTAAAATACAAAACATACTGTTCCATTAAGTAAAAAAACAAAACAACAATTTTACTTTAAAGAAGAACATTGACGTTAACATTATTTTATTATACTTTAAGTGATCTGATTGAGGTAGGTCACGTTTATCAATAGTAAATTTTAACCTAAGTTTATATTAATAACATACAGTGCATTGTTCTTTACCATACAAAATAAAAAATAATAAAAGAAACATTATACACCATAGTCGCCTGTAGCCTATAAAACGGCCGCAAATCTTTTTAAATGCATTAAAAGGCAAGCGCATATCTAAGCCTTGAGTTTGTTCACACTCTGCCTGTATTAACTTACATGCTGTATTTTAATATAGCTAATTTTGATGAATTAGCTCTAACCTTTGACAGTTTTTTTTTCTTTCCGCGGTTATGCGCGCATTATATTTCAAATGCATGCAAGGTGACTGAAATTGAAATTAAAATACAAAACATTAAGTAAAAAAAACAAAACAACAGTTATACTTTAAAGAGAACTTTAAAGAGAACATTGCTGTTTTGAAACAAAAAAAATAACTGAAAATTATTAAAAATAAACCTGCGAGATATGTCCTGCGGCAAAATTATTTCATGAAGCAGTATTCAACTTAAGCTCTTTAGACCATGCGCCTGACCGTTTCTTAGTGTTTCACCACATGTCCTTAAATACATAAGGCCTATTTTTATTATTTTTCATTATTCGTTTATTATTATGTACAATAATTGCGACATAAAATTAAATAGTAAAATATAATCAATAACGAAAATGTAAATAAAAAGGTAAATTAAAACATAAATGAAAAGGTCTTGTGTTAGTCCTACCAAAATAGCAAACACTGAAAATCTCTTTACATTTAGGCTAAAAGACTGCTTTAATTTTTTAATTTAGGCATACTTAGAATATTTGTACTGAATGTTTGTGCTTTCATATTAGTTGTCTTTAACTTCTTCAATTCTATTTTTCAAAAAGAATCCTCTTTGCACTTAAAAAGTTTAGAATAACAATAAATCGTGTTAACAAATTTTAAATGATTAATAAAGGAATTATAAGGCGTTGACTTATTGTTTAATCTCATTTACAAGCACAATAGCATATTTAAGGCTGCTGTGTGGGCTATTTCTGTCGGTTCGCATCCCATCCCCTTGCGCCCCCTGGCGGCTCATTCACAAACTGCGGTCATACACTAAAAACAAAGCGGCTCCTATTTCAAACGGCGGCGGTATATGACGCGGCGGTAATAGTCACTTTGAACTCTCACCTACTGTATCAGAAAAATTAATAGTGGAGTAAAGTACTGCTTACAGAAAAATCTACTTAAGTACAGTAACAAAGTATTTGCACTTTAATACCTCCCATCTCTGTAAATATGTATTCCTTTCCATTTTAGACAAATGACACAGTTTTTAGCTCTAAATGATAGTTTGCTTGCATAATGATATTTATCTGTGGCATGATCAATGACATATTGTGTTCTCAGTTTTGATCAGTTTAATGCAGTTTACAAAAGTCAGTAGTGTTATCATCTAGCTCAGTTCAAAGCAAGTTTTGTGTTTACTTGGTGTACGAAAAACGAGAAAGAAAGCAGTGGTTTTCTGGTGGAATGAGTTTGAATTAAATACAGCATGAATGCATATCCCACACTGTTTTTTTTTCTTTTTTCTTGCTGTTATTTTCTTGTCTCATCTGGGGCTTTGAAAATTGACTACTGTGATGGTGTTTTTGTACAGGACTGACTGTAGAGTGGACAGAGAATGACCAGAAGAAAGGGATTATTAATGTTCCTACTGAGCTATACGAGCAAGGCTGTGTGCACGACGTGGAGGCTGGACTGAAGGTATGCTATGCTTCCAAACAGTTTTTTTTTAATTATACACATATAAATTATATTTATTTATATGCGTTGTAATTGTAAACAGACTTTAAACGTTGATTTTTAGCATTGGATGTATCCTATTTGTTTAATAAAACAAAATAATTTTATATATTTGATCAATGATAATAAAAGTTTAAGTTCCTGAAAGTGGGGAAACCCCTCTAGCTCTGTTTTTCTCCATAATATGTATGAATTTTTCCTCAAAGTGGCAAATGACACACTTGCATTGAAATGCTTGTGTCTCTTGTTTGGAAACACAGTCATCTTTAACAATTCTGAAAAGACAGTTATACTAAACTATTATGCTTTTAGACTTTTGTTTAGATACCTTTAGAATGGGTAAAACAGCTTGAGTGTGAATTTTTTTTATTTTTTTTATACTGTTGCTGGTTAGTCTATTCAGTCATATCAATGTTGAAGCAAATTTATCAATTGTGTAATGTATTATATAAATAGGTTGCCATCAGAGTAGCTTGGGTATCTGATATAAAAAAAATAGACTTAATTGAACGCATACTTTATCTTCATACACATTTGTAGGATTTGTGTGCATCTTGTCATCAAGAAATGCTCTGAAATGTGCTTAAAACAGATCCTGTTTTGATTGGCAGGCTGCTGAACAAGTGGGCTTCCCTGTGATGGTGAAGGCATCTGAGGGCGGAGGAGGAAAAGGGATCCGGAAAGTCAACTGTGCAGAAGACTTCCCCAACCTCTATAGACAGGTCAGAGTAGATATTCAAGTCAATCAGTCTGTGAGGTTTTGTGTGATTTGTAACTGCCACAATATATTTTCATCAACCTTCTTCCAAACTTTTTAGAGAAATAATTCACCTGAAAAATAAAAACTATTTCATTATTTACTCACCATTTACTTGTTTCAAATCGGTGTGTTTCTTCTGTTGAACTATCGGTAGGGTTGGGCGATATGACTGTATACAGTGCATCTATAAAGTATTAACGAATTAAACAAAAAGTGAATGATATTAGATATTTTTTAAAAATTTAGTTAGTCAGCATGCTTTTACATTCATTCCCTACTCATCAATATCTCTTTTAGCCTTATATATATATATATATATATATATATAAAATATAAAAATCTACCATAATATACCATGTTATAACCTGGTTTGTTAGTTCGTTGAATTGTATTAATGACTTGCAACAACCCAACCAATCAAGAGTTCGTTTTAATCAAGTTGAGACAACCTCAGACCAGGCAGTCTCAGATCAATTAATTAGACGCAGATCAGTGCATGATAGCGGGGTTTACATAAAGTATACCCAAATAAGCCAAGCTAAGGGGCAAACACATCATGTTCCGAAACATCTAGATGTGAAACCACCCTTCAATATTCATAAAATTTATTTTTAGTATTTATTTGTATTTTTTAATATATTTTTTTTCCTTGGTGTTTACATATAATCTATAATTTTTTCAGATTTATGTTTTCTATCCTGGTTACTTATTTGGGATAAATTTAATGTCTGTGACAAGATGTTACCTTAGGAATGTTCACTCATTTTTTTAGGCACAGCCGTCCAACAGCTTGTTAACGCAAATTTCTAATCAGTCATTTACATGGCAGAAACTTAATGCAATTAGGCATGTAGACATGGTCAAGACGATCTGCTGCAGTTTAAACCAAGCATCAGAATAGGGAAGAAAGGGGATTTAAGGGACTTTGAACGTGGCATGGTTGTTGGTGCCAGACTGAGTGTGAGTATTTCAGAAACTGCTGATCTACTGGTATTTTCACACATAAACATCTCTAGGGTTTAGGATCAATGGTCTGAAAAAGAGAAAATATCCAGTGAGTAGCAGTTTTGTTGGGCACAAATGCCTTGTTGATGCCAGAGGTCAGAGGACAATGGCCAGACTGGTTCGAGCTGATAGAAAGGCAACAGCAACTCAAGAAAGCACTCGTTACAACTGAGGTATGCAGAAGAACATCTTAGAATGCACAACACCTCCAACCTTGAGGCGGATGGGCTACAGCAGCAGAAGACCACACCAGGTGCCACTCCTGTCAGCTAAGAACACGGAACTGAGGCTATAATTCAATAGTTGGACAAAATAGTTGGACAATAGAAGATTGGAAAAATGTTGTCGGCTCTGATGAGTCGATTTCTGCTGCAACATTTTATGGTAGGGTCAGAATTTGCCATGTCCATTCCTTTATATTTACAGTGCAGCCATTTATTGATGGCTACTTCCAGCAAGATAACGTGCCATGTCATAAAGCATGAATCATCTCAGACTTATTTCTTGAACATGACAATGAGTTCACTGTACTTAAATGGCCTCCACAGTCACCAGAACTCAATCCTATAGAGCACCTTTGGGATGTGGTGGAACGGGAGATTTGCATCATGAATGTGCAGCCGATCTGCAGCAACTGTGTAATAATATCATGTCAATATGGAGCAAAATCTCTGAGGAATGTTTCCAGTACCTTGTTTAATCTATGTCATAAAGGATTAAGGTAGTTCTGAAGTTAAAAGGGGGTCCAACTCAGTACTAGTAAGTTTTACCTAATAAAGTGGCCAGTTAGTGTATATAATAATAATAATAATAATAAGGTATGTCCACTTAAAACCTTGAAATGTGACATACAGTGGCATTTGCTGTTCGTCTAAAGTCCATATTTTGTTTACTATATTTATAAGGTTAAAGAAAAAATATACAAAGTAATCAAATATGATAAAGTCCCTTTCCTTTTTTAAATATTCAAGTTGGTTTTTTTATATAAAGCTCTTTTGTACATTTTCTGGAATAGTTAACTTCATCAAAAAGTATATTGTAAAAGATATCATTTTTCTGAAAAAAAAAAAAAAAAAAAGTTCATACTGTGAAATAAAATTTTGGTCATCCCGCCCAGCTCTAGTTAACAGGTTTCCAACATTCTTCAGAATATGTTCTCTCATATTCAACAGTAAAAATAAACTATTAATAGTTTGGAACCACTTGAGCATGAGTAAATAATGAGTACATTTACATTTGTGGGCGAACTCTATCCTGTTAATCATTTTTGCACATCCATTACAGAACTGGATCTACAATACTGTGTTTTTGGTTTTACTCAGGTTCAAGCTGAGGTTCCAGGTTCCCCCATTTTTGTCATGCAATTGGCCAAACATGCTCGTCATCTGGAGGTTCAGATCTTGGCTGATCAGTACGGTAATGCCATCTCTCTGTTCGGCCGTGATTGCTCCGTGCAGCGCAGACACCAGAAGATCATTGAAGAAGCCCCGGCTACTATCGCTACATCAGACGTTTTTGAAGATATGGAGAAGGTATCATATCTTTAGGCCTCAGATTTGGCAGAAGTTGAATGATGATGCTAAAGTAAGGAATTGTGTCTGCTGCCATAAACCATTGTCTGGTATGTTTCAGTGTGCTGTGAAGTTGGCGAAGATGGTGGGCTATGTGAGTGCGGGTACAGTGGAGTATCTGTACAGTCAGGACAGCAGCTTTTACTTCCTGGAGCTCAATCCACGTCTTCAAGTGGAACATCCTTGTACTGAGATGGTGGCTGACGTTAACCTGCCAGCAGCTCAACTGCAGGTCTGTGTTTTATACCTTTAAGTTCGTTATTCGTTCCTTTATTCGTCATTCTTTCTTTTTTTTTCTTTTTTTTTTGTTCCTGGTTTTAATACTTATTTATTTAATTATTTGTTTTATTTAGTTTTTTTTGTGTCTTCAAAGATAATTTGCAAATTTGTTCCCTTGTTTCTTTTTTCTCTAGGTTGTATGTAGTTATTTATTTGTTAGATTTTAGCAAAGAGCTTTATTGATAAATTGATCAATTTATTCACCAGAATTTAGAAAAACCCTTCCTTCCTTCCTTTCCTTCCTTTCCTTCCTTTCCTTCCTTCCCTTCCTTCCTTCCTTCCTTTCCTTCCTTCCTTCCTTCCTTCCTTCCCTTCCTTCCTTCCTTCCTTCCTTCCTTCCTTCCTTCCTTTCCTTCCTTCCTTCCTTCCTTCCTTTCCTTCCTTCCTTCCTTCCTTTCCTTCCTTCCTTCCTTCCTTCCTTCCTTCCTTCCTTCCTTCCTTCCTTCCTTTCCTTTCCTTCCTTCCTTCTTTCCTTTCCTTCCTTCCTTCCTTTCCTTCCTTCCTTCCTTCCTTCCTTCCTTCCTTTCCTTCCTTCCTTCCTTCCTTCCTTCCTTCCTTCCTTTCCTTCCTTCCTTTAGTCATTGTCTGATTTAATAGTGCTGTTTTATGGCTTAGCTTTAGTTGTGTTTGTTTGTTTGTTTGTTTGTTTATTTATTTTTATCTTTCTACCTATCTATTTATTTATCTACCTGCCTATTTATTTATCTATTTATTGTTTGATTTTATTTATTTTGTTTTATTGTGTACTTATTGTTGGTTGTTTACTTTCTATGTGTATAAATAAAAATAAAAATAAAACTGTTCCTTGCTATTATGTTCATTTAAAAAGAGGGTTAATTAATGTTAAAAAATCACAACGTTGGATTTTAAATTTGTACGTTTTAGTAAATACATTAACTACATATAGGAAAGTATTATAAAAATTATTACAGTTACCAAAATCTTAGTGGTCTTACTAGAAATTTATTAATGTTCTGAAAATTGTAATAGTGTTTTTAAAAATATTTTATTTAAAGTGTTACTTAATTAAAAAGATTAAAAGATTGCCACAGATCATACTGTAAGACTCATTCAGGTCTCCACAATCACTTTCACTAGCAGCGTTTAGTGAACAATGTAAGACAGTCTCTGCGGTAGACACTGCTCACGTGACCACATGTCTGTGCTATATAGGTCACTTGTCTGATGGCAGTGTGCTTTAGGTCCAGTATGAGTGGGAGAGAGCTCTTAATATGCTTATGTAACATAAACGCTGCACAAAATGAATGAGGGGGAATTGAATGAAAAGGGCATTAGGGGAAGAAAAACGCAGTAGGAGGCACTCATTACTGAAAAAGAAAGAGTGCAGAAATTAGGAAAGTGTTAATTTGAAGGGATATCCATCTAAAAATGAACATTGTTACTATTTCCTCACTTTCAGATTAGGGCTACACAATGTATCAAAAATGATCATTAATAGTGTATGAAATATCCATATTGCAGAGAAGTGCAATGAATGAAGTTAATTTTACGTGACAAGCATTTTTGTGCTGCACTAATTAATTGGTTATTCAAAGCTGACCTATGAGATGGCCCTTTTACTATTTTTATTTTCACTTCTTCCATATACAGTAGGTGTTTTTAGGGGAACCTAAAGTATAGCTGAAAATGTAGAATTTCTGGAGAGGTTTTCTGTAATTTCTGGTGTTGTAAAATCTAAGGGCTCCATTTTAACGATCTAGGTGCAAAGTCTAAAGCTCATGGTGCAAAATCATTAAGGGCATGTCTGAATCCACTTTTATTATTTTAAGGATGTAAAAGTACACTTTGCGCCATGGCACATGGTTTAACAGGGTTGTGCTTATTCTCCTAACAAATTATGGGTGTGTTTTGTGCATAACGTGCAATAAACAATCAGAGTCTCATCTCCCATTCCCTTTGCGAGTCAGTTATGCCGCCGCATGGTACATTTGCTATTTACATGGCAAAAAAGCAGTTAAACAGACCATCTGCACGAGGATAAAGATTGAGCCTCCTCAATTCGGCCTCTTTACTTTTACTCTTTACTTTACTCCTTTACTTTCGTGGAGTAAGGAAACAGTGGAAACACACTCCACTGAAGACATCTATTAGCGTATATATTTAATTCTAGTTTAAGTGCAAAGATTTCTTTCAAAACTATTTCTAAATTCAGTTCCAATTTCCAACAAACTAATAAATGAGCAATAATAATAAAGTGTCGTCAAAAGTGTTAAAACACACATCTTATTCTTATTCCCCATATGGTGATGCATACGTCTCCAATACCTGACAGGTGGACAAATATAAACTTGCTTTTATTAAAACAAAAATAAATATGCATATTTCCCAGAGATGGGTTGCGGCTTGAAGGGCATCCGCAGTGTAAAAACTAGCTGGACAAGTTGGCGGTTCAATCCGCTGTGGCGACCCCGGATGAATAAAGGGACTAAGCCGACAAGAAATTGAATGAATGAATGAATAAATATGCACAGAAATAATACTGCTAATAATAATAGCATCATAATAAAAATGCTAATTTTCATAAATAAACTGAAACTGAAGTTTTTTATATCTTTGTAATAAAAAATAATTTTTTGTCATATGTAGAGATTTTTGTGTCTATACCCTGTGTGTATTAAGCAATGTGTAAGCGGTACATAACTAACGGGCTCTGGAATTTAAACCAGCTTTTAGATAGTCAGTGGCCTGATCTATTTCAGTTTCTCAAAATAGCAACTCGCCTGCAATGCGTCTTAACATACTTTCTTTATAGACCAGCACACCTATGAGTCCACAAAGCAGCGGAAATGGATTTGCTATTTAAACAACGTGGCACAAAATGTGAAAATTTCCGCTGTGCTAGTCTGAAAATGGCAACAAATCTTGCCAAAAACGTCTTGCGCATTATTGCTCCGGGTGTATGATAGGGCCCTAAATGTTGCATCTTGACATTGTATTTTTTAGATGTAATTAGCTCTGAAAAATATCCATTGCCTGCTTATTTTAATACAATCAATTTTTGAACTTTTAAATTGCTGATAAATTAGCATTTTGCGAGTTATATAATAAGAAAAACGTTATCGCAAAACTCCATAACACTATAGCGTAGCGCATATTTTTCCAGCATAGTGTAGCCATTGTTTAGCCATTGACATCCATAGTAGGTAAATGTTTGCATTGACAATTTTAGAAAACATGAACTCATGTCTTTTCTTCTACATATTTTATCAAATCTAGAAGCGGGAATATCACAGAGATTGTGGGTGGATTTTTTTAAAGTTTGTGAAATGCAGTAATTATGTCTTCAGATGTTTGTCTGTGTGTGATGGTTTGATATTTGGATTTTCAGATCGCTATGGGCATCCCACTTCACCGTATTAAAGACATCAGAGTGCTGTATGGGATGCAGCCATGGGGAGATTCCCCCATTGACTTTGATGGACTCTCTACCACCCCCTGTCCACGAGGACACGTCATCGCAGCTCGAATTACCAGTGAGAACCCAGATGAGGTGTGTGAGTTTGACTGATATTTTAAGGGTCGCAGTGTAAATATGTAGTCACTTCTGGTCTCAATCATGATTGCGCATTCGAAGGGGATAACCAGGAGGTTGTAAAGTAAGCAATAAAATGTCTCATGTTTCATTCTAATAATTAAAAGGTCAAAATTATCAAACAATTTCAGCAAGTAGTGTAATGCAATATAACATGATGTTTTTTTTTCCATAAAAGAAATATTAAACAAAAATGACTACGTAATCAAACAAAAAGTGTTCAAGGGTAGCTTAACTAATGTGTCGGTGCTCATTGGGTAAGAGATTTATCAGAATTGCAAGCAAAGGTAAGTCCAAGGCACTTGAAAAATGTAGAAAAAATGTTAAAAAGACTTTATTGACATGGCTATAAAACTGCACTTACATGTTTTGACAAACGCTTGCTTTCGTCTGGGTACATAGTTGCCCAAATAAGTGCTATTTTTTAATCATCAGAGAATACTGAAACCATGTAACTTGGGTAAATAAGACAATTAAGGCCTTTATCTATTTGGATGGTTTTCTTTTTAAATGCTCATTCACATGACTAAATGTTTTGCTTTAGTTTATGTAAATTTAATTAAAATGGCGTTGATGTTTTCGAAATGTAAAGTTGACATCAATTTACAAATGGAGAATAAAAAAAGTGTTATTTCTAATACTATTAGACTAATTGTAATAGAGACTAGACTATATAAAAATGTTGTTTGCTGCACACATTAAAAAAAGTCAGCTCCAAGTGGGCCATAAACCTGGAGTTTTTATTAATTTAATGTCTCGTACGTGACACAATATTCACGTGAGTCCAATATTGTGCTTTATGAATGTTTACACCTGCCCCAACCCCAAACCTAACCTCACAGTAACCTGTTGCGTTTTATTAACCTCTACACCTACCTCAACCCTAGGGTTAAGTGGATAGACGTTGGCCGATAAACATCACGATACTGAGCTGGCATCACTATCCTCTGCCCTGCCCTCATCACAACAGCAACCAGCTCATGAAAAATACACACTTAGGCCCCATTTGCACTTATAAATCTTTGTTTTAAAATGGTATTTTAGAACAAAAACGATCCACACTGGCATGTCTGAAAAGTCCTCGTTCCACACTAAACGTAAATCACATGACAACAAACAACAAACATGGATCGTGTCTCAAAGTTGTTAAACGTGATATTTAATTCATCTTGTCTCTATCTAACGACTCTTCTGTCAGCGTCAGTACACTGCTTTAATCGTTAGCTATCACGTTTAGTAATTTTAGTAAAAACCTCGGATATACTGTTGGTTGGTTTCTGTTGATTGAGAACCTTTTTTACCAACCAAGTTTGTCGACACAATTATAATGACGCAGATCACTCTGCCTATTCATTCCAGAGGAGTCCTCCGGAAAAAGTGATTGACAGGTGATAATTTGTGTATAACTTTTCTCTCTCTCTCTCTCTCTCTCTCTCTCTCTCTCTCTCTCTCTCTCTCTCTCTCTCTCTCTCTATCTCTATCTCTATCTCTCTCTATCTCTCTCTCTCTCTCTCTATATATATATATATTCATGATTTGGTTATGGTTAAAACAAAGACTATAGGGGTCAGGTAATTGAAATAAGGCAGGCTACAAATAATTAATTCATTATAAATTAATTAATTAATTATTCATAAATAATAAATTCACCGCTGCCTACAACGATGATCGACATCGCCCAAACCTACTCAACCCTAATCCTTTAAGTCCTCCCCACTTGGAGGTCATCCAACCTACTTGCGGTAAAATCCCTCCTGCTTGGAGGTCTCCAGGCTGCAGCGAAACCTACTTGAAAAGAATAAATTTCAGCGTTTGAGAATTAATATTTCCATTTCAGAAATATATGAACTGCTCACTGCCAGTTGTGTACAGTAATAACAAATAGTAAGTAATAAGATATTTTACTTCACTAAATATTAGAATGATTTCAATTATCATGTTACACTGGTTGCTGTAAAATAGAGTTGTATTAAATAAATCATCAGTAAATCAACAGTACATACTATTTTATAATTTTCTGAAACCTTACTTTAAACCTTACTGACACCAAAATGTGTAAATATTATAAAGTAATTTAAAATACATACCATGCAATAGGGTTCTATCGATGCATTAATTGTGTTGTCTTTTTTTTTGTGTGTGTGTCAGGGTTTTAAACCCAGCTCTGGAACTGTCCAGGAATTAAATTTCCGCAGTAACAAGAATGTGTGGGGCTACTTCAGCGTGGCGGCAGCTGGAGGACTGCATGAGTTTGCAGACTCTCAGTTTGGCCACTGCTTCTCCTGGGGAGAGAACCGTGAGGAAGCCATCTCGTGAGTACTTCCAGTCATAAGCATCTTCATTTTTGAGATGTGCAGATAGTTAACTTTAACTACTTAAACTCTGCTGCTATTTGGGGATTTGCGCCTGGATTTTGCCGACCCAAATTTAAAAGCTTCCCAAATCCACATAAAGAGGTATAAATGCAAAAATTTGGCATCATTTTAAAGAAAACCCTTTGAATTTTCATAAAACACTGGAAACACCACAATTCATTCAACAACTGTTTGGCATATGAATATAATACAGTAAAAAGAATGCTAGAACTGTATGAGCACTGGCAAGAGCTTTCATTTGAGCTATAACTTGTACATGTGTCATTTAAAAAAATATGAAAATCAACCAATGTAAAATACCTAGCTCGGGTATCCAAAATACTGTTTTAGACCGTAGAATAAAAACCAAAGTGATGCATATGTGCATAAAATATAGATTCTACACTTTCAAACGAAACCACTTACGAGAGTCTGGTGCAATGCTAGCCCTTTAAATCTGAAAGCGAAAGTCGATGACGTCACGGTACCGGTACCGGGTCCGCAGAGTTTAAGTGGTTAAACATTAAAATCTTTTCTTCGAATTTTTATCATTTTAATAAATGCTAAAATGCTCCTATTTTACCTTTTACAAAATGTTAGATAAAAATTCTACAGAATGTGGCTGTAAAATTTCAGCTCTAAATACCCATCAGATCATTTAATATACACTGCTGATTGTCAATTTTGTAGTTAGAGAAAAGTGTAGCTGTTTTTTATAGCCTGTGCCTTTAAATCAAAGCTGGTTCTGGATTCTGTATGTATTCAATAAGAAAAAGCATAGAGAGATGTATTAAGGATTTTCCTGGCTGTGTCATCTCAGAAACATGGTGGTGGCCCTCAAGGAGCTGTCCATCAGAGGAGACTTCAGGACTACAGTGGAGTATCTCATAAAGCTGCTTGAAACGGAGAGTTTCCAGCACAACAGCATTGACACAGGATGGCTGGACAGGCTCATCTCTGAGAAGATGCAGGTGTGTGAAACTGCCTCTTATGACACTGCTTATCTAACACTCAAGTACACACCATTTGGGCACATCATTTAAATCACCAATTAATGCCTTATGACTTCCAATGTCTGTAACTGTCTATGTGTGTTTGTGTTTGTGTGTGTGTGTAGGCAGAGCGTCCTGATACTATGCTGGGGGTAGTAAGTGGAGCTCTGCATGTGGCTGATGTTAACTTCAGGAACAGTGTGTCCAACTTCCTGCACTCACTGGAGAGGTTACAAATTATTTAACAGATTTTGAGAGCATGCTAATTAAATTAAATAATTAAATGTAATTTAATTTCATTTAAATTTCATTTAACTAAATTTCTTTTAATTTAATTTCATTTATTTTAATTGAATTGAATTTAATATCTTTTAATTTAATTTAAATTAATTAATAGTCATTTATTTTAATTAAGTTTAATTTATTTTAATGTCTTTTAATGTTAGTTTTTTTAAATTATTTTATTTAATTTATTTTAATGTCTTTCAATTTCTTTTTATTTCATTTTTTAATGTCTTAATTTCTTTTCATTTTATTTAATTTATTTTAATTAATTTATTTTAATTTAACTTAATTTATTTTAATTAAATACAATGGAATTTCTGTTTAAATT